GAGGCGCCCCGCTCCTGGAGGGCGGGCGCGGGGGGTGCTGCTCGGCCTGCCCGCGCCCCGGAGGACCTCCGCTGGCTGGGAACCGGGAGGGCCGCGTCTCCCTCGAACAAGCCCTTGGATTCGCGCGGGGAGAAGCCGAGGCAGAGGCGGCCGGTGGCAGCAGCAGGCTCCCCACCGCGGGCACCGCAGCCGCGCCTTCCGGCCCTTCGCGCCGGGCCCTCCGCCAGCTCCTCGGCTTTCACGGCGGGCTTTCTTCCCTTTGCAACTTCTCGCTGCCTCGGGGGGTGAAACGGAGTGGGCGGGGGGACCCACGTGCAAGAAGAAGCGGAGCACACGCCGGCTGCCTCCTTGGACGTGCTGGCCGCCTCTGTAGCGACACGAGTCGAGCCAAGGCCCCTTCCTAGGCTGACGGCGTCCCAGCCCCAGGGAGCTGAAGTTGCTCTCTCCGGAGTCACGTCTCCCATGGCTGATGCTCCTGGAAGGTTGCGATGGGAATTCCCACGCGGGCATCCCAGCCAGACGCCATACATAAGGGAGGCCGGGCAGCCAGTCTGTTAGCTAGCGCGGTCAGTGAGTGGGTCCGTGGGCTGCGCCGCGCGGCTGGCCCAGGGCTGGAGTCCCGAGGCCCCCCTGCGCCAGCAAGCCGGTCCTCGGGCTTCCGAGTGTCCATCTGCTCTGCAGGGCTGACCGGGCACAGCCCCGGCCCCTGCTGTTTCTCCTCATCCCTGGCCCCCCATAAGTCCAAGCGAACAGCGGAGACTCGAGGAGAGACCCTGAACTTTCCGAGTACATCTGTCCCGCTCTCCCACCTGAACAAACCCTCCTTCATGCATGCACGGGTGTTACTGGCCCCCAGGAAAGCATTCTGTTTTTATTTGTTTTTGTTTTTAAGAGACAGGGCCTCGCTCTGTGGCCCAGGTTGGAGTGCAGTGGCGATATCATTGCTCACTGCAGCCTCAAACTTGCCGGGCTCAAGTGACCGCCCCACCTCAGCCTCCCAAGTAGTTAGAATTATAGGCCCACACCACCACTTCTAGCTAGGTTTTTTTTTTTAGATTGGAAAATACGGTTTATTTAGAAAGTAGATAGAGAAATGGTGATCCACCTCCCTCAGATTGGAGAGGGGCCAGAGCTTACAGAGAGGCATGGTGGTCCCTAGCTAATTAAAAAAAAAGTGGTTTTTTTTCTGTAGAGACAGGGGTCTTGCTATGTTGCCCAGGCTGGTCTTAAACTCCTAGCCTCAAGTGATCCTCCCACCTCAGCCTCCCAAAGTACTGGGATTATAGGCGTGAGCTTCTGCACCCAGCCACAGTCAGCGTTTATCGTGGGCCTGAAGAGTTTGTGTTGAATAGGTATCACTGTCATCTAGTGCATGCTTTTGCGAGCTAAGTAATCATTAACAGGGACACCTTTCAAACTAAGTTTATGCCTTTGAGTTTATTCTCTTGTGCTACAAATCCCCTGGGGCTCTGGCCTGCTGAGATCGGAAGCTTTCACCAGGGCTTCTCTACAGAGTTAGTGCTAAAAGTTCCTCAGGGAGGAAAACTCCAACTCCCTGGACCGAAAGGCTTCACCTGCTTCACCTACCGTAGTTCACACTTTATTTCCCCAGTAAATTGCATCTCCCTTGAGCCCTCAGGGCCTAGAGCAGAGCTGGAACCCAGGAGCTACGAGATAGCATCCTGGGCAAGGTTAAGGAGAACAGGTCACAGTGGCTAGACCGTGAGGTCACAGAGAGGTCTGTTCGCCCCAGACTCCATGGGGGAGGGGCTTAGGAGGCAGAGGGGCCCCAGAGGTCCCCCAAGCCCAGGCAGGGGGCATGGTGGCGGAAAGCCAGCAGAGACGGGACTGAGGGCCCCGGAGAGATGAGGGCAGGAGCAGGGAGGGGGCCGCCAGGATGGTGAGGAAAAGCCAGAGACAGAGCTGCAAAAGTTCACCGGGCTGTGCCGACAGGAGGAAGGGCTTTGGGTGAGGGGGTGGCCAGGCAGGGGGAGGGCAGGAAGATGGCTGCAGAAGATGGGGAGGGGCTGTTTGGAGAACTTGGGCCCAGGAACAAGGCAGACACAGGAGGGATGGCCTGTGGATCTGGAGAAAGAGATGGGAGGGCTTGATGGCACTGAGCCAGACGAGCCCAAGACAGGAGTTAGTGGGAAAGGGTGAGAGAAGGGAGAAAAAGAGGTGGGACCTGCACGGAACCCCTATGCTCCCCCTCTCCTTGGGTAGGTGAAGCGGAGCTGCCCTTCTTGCGGCCCAGAGCTTGGGGGTGAAGAGAAGAAGGGGAGAGGGGACCCGGTTTCTGTTCAGTTGTTCCCCCCAGAGCTGGTGAGTCCTTGGCGTGGGGTAGAGAGGCGGTGTCGAGAATAACAGGACTGGCGGCCAGACCGCTGGGGGGCCACTAACGACCCCTGGCTTCCTCCCTCCTGCCCTCCAGGTGGAGCATATCATTTCATTCCTCCCAGTCAGAGACGTAGTCGCCCTAGGCCAGACCTGCCGCTACTTCCACGAAGTGTGCGACGCGGAGGGCACGTGGAGACGCATCTGTCGCAGGCTCAGTCCACGCCTCCGAGAGCAGGGTTCTGGGGTCCGGCCCTGGAAGAGAGCTGCTGTCCTTAACTGTACACCTTCCCCAGAACCTCCAGTTCTGTCTGCCTCTGTCTACCTTACCCCACCTGCTCTGAAAAGTTGCCCGATGACCTCTGCCTTCCCAGCCGACCTTCCAGGGCTTTTTTCTCTGGAGGAAATTTGTCTGACTGAGACATACTCCATCGAGTACCTCCTCCAAGTCTCTGGAGCCCCCCTCTGACAGACATCCCTCTCACGGTCCCCATTGGTGGCGTCCCTGCCAAGTCTCTTCCCAGCACCCCAGAGGCATTCCCCACCTCCCAAACCTGGTTTTTCCTTCCTCTAGACCAAGGCTTCTCAACCTTGTCACTATGGACCTTACTTGGGGCAAGATCTTTGTGGTGGGAGGCTGTTCTGCACACTGCAGGAACACAGCCATGCTGGCCTCTCCCGACTGGATGCCAGTAGCACCTCCTCTAGTTATGACTATCTGTGTTCCCTGAGGGACAGAATCACCCACCAGCTTGAGAACCGTGCCCCAACCCCCTTCCCCTCTAGGGGTCCCCTGTCTAGTTACAGCCTTTCCCTCACTGGGAGGTTAGGGGAGAAGAGGGATCCAGGTTACAGATCCCGAGCTGGGGTGAGGGAGGGGGACCGGCCTTCCTCGGTCATTCTTTTCACTCCTCTTTCTGCCTCTTTTCTGTGTCTTTATATTTTCCTTGATGTCTCTGATTGGACCAAAGAAGTGCTCACTAAGAAGCACATGTATGGCCCCGGACTGAGGGGGGGCAGAGACTAAAGTCCACACCTGGGGTATAATCTGAGCTTCCTTTGTCTCCTTTGGAAGGATCCTGGGGTGGGGAGGAGCTAAGTACCAGGGTGTGGGAGAAGTCTGTTTGCCTGAGCTTCGACTGTCTCTTTTGTGTCATGCCCATCCCTTGAAGCTTCCGTCTCCTTCCCTCCTCCAGGCACGAAGGGTCTGTATTTCCAGGCGTTCGGAGGCCGCCGCCGATGCCTCAGTAAGAGCGTGGCCCCCCTGCTAGCCCACGGCTATCGCCGCTTCTTGCCCACCAAGGACCACGTCTTCATTCTCGACTACGCGGGGACCCTCTTCTTCCTCAAAAACGCCCTCATCTCCTCCACCCTCGGCCAGATCCAGTGGAAGCGGGCCTGCCGCTATGTCGTGCTGTGTCGTGGGGCCAAGGATGTGAGTACCAGAGCCCCGGCAGCCGAGAACCCGCCCCGCCCTCCTCTGAGGACCCAGGACGGCTGCCCTCCCACTCCGGGAACCTGAAGTCAGGTCCTCATTTCCCAGTCCTGGACCCAAGCATCTCCTCTCCCTTCCCAGGATCCAGTTGCCCCAGCCTGAAGTCCTAGATTCCAGACCCCCCTGTCTTTCCTCAGTTTGCCTCAGACCCAAGGTGTGACACCGTTTACCGTAAATACCTCTACGTCTTGGCCACTCGGGAGCAGCAAGGAGCGGCAGGCACCACCAGCAGCCGGGCCTGCGACTGTGTTGAGGTCTACCTGCAGTCCAGTGGGCAGCGGGTCTTCAAGATGACATTCCACCACTCCATGAGCTTCAAACAGATTGCGCTGGTTGGCCAGGAGACCCAGCGAGCTCTACTGCTCCTCACAGGTGTGGCCTAGAGCCGTGGTTTACAAACTGTTTCCTGCAGATTCTTTAGGGCCCGCTACAGGAAGGGAGGAGGAGGACCCTTGGAGAGGGTTCTGCCTGCCACCTCATCCTGGACTCGATACGAATAGTTCTGCTTCTATCAGTCTCCTGGTCTAGGATCCTGCACAATATTTCATATGAGTAAAGGGCCCTGCTGCCCAAAAAACGGTTTGGAAACCACTACTCTAGTGAATGCCTGATTTTTAAAATTCTAATCTCCCTCACCTCCATGCCAGGCACCTCTCTTTATGCCCCAAACTGCCCCCCCCCCCC